TACCACCCGTGGGGTGGCGGAGGTGGAGAGAGGCCCTCACCCGGACGCGCTCGCTGCTGCGCATGCTCACGCCCGGGTTCGACCGCAGGTGCCGGCGAGCTACGCGGACCTCCAGGGCCCGACGGAGAGAGTGAGGCCACGAGTCTCCCCCCGAGAGACTATGGAGAAGTACCAGGTGCCGAGTTGTCCCTTGCGGGGAGACTGGGGCTACGTGGGCCGACGGCGAGCCCGGGACCGCCCTAGTCCCCGACGGGGACAACGATCACTGCCCCTGGAGGGGCAGCCAGCGGCGAGGTCGGCCCGAGAGAAGCAAGGGGCCCACGCTCTGTCCAGTGTCGACTTCTAGCTCGTAGGCCGTCCTCGGGGACCTCCAAGGGTGACCTCCGGGTGCTCTTTGCCTCTCTGGCTCTCAGTTGCCCCCTCTCTAAAAGGGCTAGCTCTAAGGACTCCCCTCCAGCCATATTTGAGGGCGTAGGACCGCTTTTCCATCTTTGTTGCCCGAGGTCCGTGTGCTGTGATCCATGGAGATGGAGGGACACCCTGGAACACCCAGAGCACATAATCGGGAATCCCCGATCGCCTAAAAACCCCCCTTCAGCCTGGGCCTGTGGAAGTGTCTGAGACCTGAGAAATCCACAAAAACACAAAAGGAAAGCTGCAAAATGAATGAATGTTTAATTAAGTCCTTTCATATACGATACGTCAACTTTATTGTTAGCCTCAGTCTTTGTAAAAATAAGCATTAATTTGAAAACAATCTGTAAGTTAGATTTTCCTCTTATTGGGAGAACTCTCCGTGTAGGGGACTGCAGGGGGTTACCAATAATAAAGCCAGTGAGTTCTGGTGGCCAGAGAATTTTTAAAAGAAAGTTACTTTTTCAGGAAAATAAAAAAGATAGACTTTTCAGGAATAATATACCTGCTTTGGGAAAAAAAGTAGACTTGATCTGAGATATAGGTGCATTTTCCTGTTTAACTTGTTGCCTAAGGGGACCTAGGCCTGAGTGTTCCTTCCCCTACCCTGCCCTTAGCCCCTGTGGCTAGAGACTGTGTCTCCTTTATTAGCAGGATTTAGACTGCCCACAGAGCCTGGATTACAGAACCCTAAGACTCGTATCCCCTCCTCTGTGTCCTGCCCGCCCTCCATGCTCTGATGAATGTCAGCATCCAGCAATCCCTGGCCTGTCCCCAACCCCATAGCCCTTCTGCATCAAGTTCTAGCATGGTGGCCGTCTCTGCAGGTTTGGCTCAAATCAGTCTTGAGTCAGACCCCAGAATTGCCTAATCCAGGCAGTCTGGTTTCTTAGTGATATAGCCTCAGGCAAGGACCTAGCTTCTTGTGCCTCAGTTTCCTCGAATGTAATCATAGAGGTAGCAATCATGCTGACTACATAGGGTGGCTGTGAAGTGCTGGGGACTGTGCGAAGCCCTTAGACGGCTGTGACTGTGACTGAGACTGCAACAATGACAAGACTGGTGACTTTGTTGGTTAAAGCCCAGTCTGGAAGTGGATGCTGGAAGCTGAGATCGTAGGTGTCTAGAGAGGGTGAATAAACCCTTTGCCCCAGAGAGGTGCTCATTCTTTTTTTTTTTTGAGTTGGAGTCTCACTCTGTCGCCCAGACTGGAGTGCAGGGACCGCTCCCGGCCACCGCAGCCTCAACCTGCTGGGCTCCGGCGATCCTTCCGCCTCAGCCTTCCAAATAGCTGGAACTACAGGCATGCGCTACCACGCCCGGCTAATTTTTTTGGATTTATTGTAGAGATGAGGTCTCGCCAAGTTGCCCAGGCAGGTCTCGAACCCGCGGGCTCAGGCAGTCCACTCACCTCAGCCTCCCAAAGGCATGGGATTACAGGCTGAGCCACCGAGCCCAGCTGAGGTGCTCATTCTTGGAAGCCCGCTGTTCCTCAGTGTAGTTTGTGGAAGGGTTATGAGGTTGCAGACAGAGCTCCAGAATCAGACCCAGCGTGATAGGATGTGGTTTTGCCATGAAAGGGCTTCCCCACCTTCCTGGGCCACTTGCTCCCCTGGGAGATGGAGAGGAGATGCTCGCTCTGCAGCCTGATGGGAGTTGTGGGGTGGGAGAAAGGTGGGAGAAGCCCATGGATTCAGGCTTGCTCTGTAGAGTGGAAAGCTGTGTGCATTTCCTGAAGTCTCCTCTCTCTTGTGCTGGTAGATTTTGTGCCAGCTGAATCCTGGAGCCTTGGGGGTAAACCTGGTGGTAGAAGAAACAGATACCAAAGTAAAGCACGTGATAAAGCAGGTAAGAGGCCAAGCCTGCGGCAGCCCACGCAGAATAGTTCTGTGGCTGTGACTTTGCCAAATGCACTTGACAACCTCGTGGAAGAGGAAGCTTCCTGATGCAGCAGCTGGCCTCCCCTCCACCAGAGCTCACGGAGGCAAAGCTGGTGGGGTAGACGTGGGGGTGACATGAGCCTCTCTCACCTTGATGGGGAAGCAGTGCTCATTTATAGTCCAACACCACCACCACCTACCATGTACTCGCCGCACGCTGTGTGCCAGGCATCAACTCATTCAATCTCCCTTCCACCCTGCAAAGTAGGAACCATAACCGTTTTACAAAGACAGTGAGACTCAGGGAAGTGCCAGGCTAGCCAAGGTCACACAGTTTCCAAGAGGATTTGGATTCAGGCCACTTCGTGGGGCAACATGTTCATACCCAGTGCAGGGTCACCAGTTTTACCAAAAGGGAACCAGGCCCAGAGTGGCTCAAGGTCACTCAGGGCTAAGGTCACACACTGGGCCTTGGGCCCTTCCACCACATTCCTCGCCTGGGCTGGTATGGCAGGGTAGGGGCACAGGCCTGCAGGACACCCCTTAACGTGTCCAAGACACGGTGGCTCAGATGAAAGGAGGGTTCAGGGCATGAAAGCTGCTGTACAAGTCCCTGGCACGTCCTCCGGCTGGTGGCGGGGATGCAGCAGGATCGGGGCTGGTCATGCAGGTAGAAGAGCCTCATTGGCAGCTGCTGCCCTGCCAGGCCTCCTGTCTGTGTGTCATCTTACAGCCTTGTCCCAAGGCAGCTGGGCCTGGAGTCCTTGCCTACCTCCTTTGCTGACTGCTGCATGGGCCACTTGGCAGGGTGGCTCACTGCCTCCTGGGCAGTGAAGGAGCTTTTTAAAAAGTCAGCCAATTATTTTTCTTTTTTTGAGTTGGGAGTCTCAATCTGTCACCCAGACTGGAGTACAGTGGCACAGAATGACGTACCACAGCCTTGACCTCCTGGGCTCAGGTGATCCTCCCGCCACAGGTGCACGCCACCACGCCCAGCTAATTTTTTGATTTATTGTAGAGACGAGGTCCTGCCAAGTTGCCCAGGCTGGTCTCAAACCCCTGGGCTCAGGCAATCCTCTTGCCTCTGCCTCCCAAAGTGCTGGGATTACAGGCATGAGCCACTGTGCCCAGCACCAGTTATTTCCAAATAAAAAGTAGTGGGGGGTAGGGGAGTGTAAGTAGGAGTTTGAATATCCCTCCAATCCTTTTTTTTTTTTGAGTCAGGTTCTCACTCTGTTGCCTGGGCTGGAGTGCAGTGGCACGATCACAGCTCACTGCAGCCTTGAACTCCTAGGCTCAGGTGATCCTTTCACCTTAGCCTCCCAAGCTGCTGGGACTACATACTACGCCACCAAACCCAGGCCCTTCCAATCTTTTTTCTAAGTATTTGTAAACTTTTTTCTTTTGGCAAGAATAGTATTGTTGAAATTGATGGCATACTTTTTTCCACTGACTATATTGCAAACATCAACCATTCACACATTCACATAGCCACTTCCTCTCCTTGTTCCAGTGGCTGTGTGGCCTTGCATCTTGCTAGATGTGCTGTGATTGACCCAACCCATCCCCTCATGCAAGCTGAGAGTTTAGCTTGTTCTCAGGTTTTCAGTATGTATAAACAACTCTGATTAAGATCTGAGCCCAGTGGCTCACGCCTATAATCCCAGTACTTTGGGAGGCCAAGGCAGGAAGATTGCTGGAGCCCAGGAGTTCAAGACTAGCCTGGGCAACATAGCGAGACCTCATCTCTACAAAAAAATGTAACAATTAGCTGGGTGTGGTGGCACACACTTGTAGTCCCATTACCGCCACCGTCATCAACATCACCACCATCACCATTATTTACCAAGGGTGCTAGGCTCCCCACTGTTCATGCCCTCACCACATGGCACAAGATGGCGCCTGAATATATTCTTAAGGCAGAGATCTAAAAATACTTGGAGCAATGAGAACATTTTTGCTTCTGCTGCAGGGATAAGTTTAGAATAGCATAATGTAAACTCCAAGAAATCAGTAAAGGATCCATTTTCAGACCATCTTGAGAGGAGGGAAGAAAAATAATGTGCTGGTCCTAGAGCTAAAGAGCTCTGTTCTGGTTGGTAAAGTATCAGTCTCACCACTTCATTCCTTATCTGAATTGGGAAGATCATCTCCACGCACTGAATGTGTGGCAGTCCCGTTTCTTTCTTGTACCCTCTCTGGGTGGAAGGTGGGATCTTGCAGAAAGGGAAGGGTAGCACCAGAGCTTGGAGCCCACAACATGCTTAGTGGCAAAGACTCCAGCTATGTACCATCTCCAGCTTTTTTTTTTTTTTTTTGAGTCAGGGTCTCACCCTGTCACCCAGGCCGGAGTGTAGTGGTGTGATCACAGTTCATTGCAGCCCGGGCTCAGGCAATCTTCCCGCCTCAGCATCCTGAGTAGCTAGGACTACAGGCATGCACCACCGTGCCCAGCAATTTTTTGTAGAGATGGGGTTTTGCTTTGTTGCCCAGGCTGCTCTCGAACTCCTGGGCTCCAAGAGTTCTTCTGCTTCAACCTCCCAAAGTGCTGTGATTGCTGCCATGAGGCACCATGGTTTATGCTATGTTAACTAAGCTGTGCTCTTGTGTCCCTGCAGGTGGAATGCATTGATGAGCATCAGACCAATGAGGCCCTGGAGGAGGTAACTCTCTGGGTGGGTCACATGACACACACAGACTGTGTGTGGACCTGCTCTCTTGTTGAGTGCCCACATGGAGCGAAGCCTGGATGGAGAGACAGAGCGTTGAACCAGTTTTGCTCCAGCCATGAAGCCAGATCATGAAGGGAGTCCATGCTCAAAACACTTACTTCCAAATGCAGGGGCTGACACCTTTGAACATATGTTTCCAGAGAAGATAAAGTTTAAATATAGGCTAATCTACCATCTTTTAAAATCATCTTTTTTTTTCTTTTTTTTGAGTTGAAGTTTTACTCTGTCACCCAGGCTGGAGTACAGTGGCATGCTCTCAGCCACCGCAGCCTCGACTTGCTGGGCTCAGGCGATCCTTCTGCCTCAGCCTTCCAAGAAGCTGGAATTACAGGCACATGCTACCATGCCCAGCGAGTATTTTGATTTATTGTAGAGATGACGTCTTGCCAACTTGCCCAGGCATCTCTCAGACTCGTGGGCTCAGGCAATCCTCTCAACTTGGCCTCCCAAAGTGCTGAGATTATATGTGTGAGCCACCGCGCCCAGCCTTAAAAACATCTTTTAGCGGCTCCGCGGCCCCGC